CCGATTCCCCGATTCCCCGATTCCCCGATTCCCCGATTCCCCGATTCCCCGATTCCCCGATTCCCCGATTCCCCGATTCCCCGTTCCCTGTTTTAAGATAGCCAAGCCGCAAGGAGCCTCGGATGACCGGCACTTTTTGTTAGTCCAGTACGCCGGCGCACTGGCCATTGCCATTGGATCAGATGGTTAACCCATCAATCAAAATTTTCGCTAATCTCTCAAGGGACAGCTCCAAGGAACAACAATGATTACAATTGACGTGTAAAGAGAAAATTGAGAATGCGTTGTCGCAAGCGTTATCGCGCCTGAATATCCTTGGCAAATATCGCGAAATTGTTAATTTCCAAACACAAGCAAGAAACAACCGCAAACAATTTACCTCACGGGAGAGATGTGATGGCCGTTTTCCCAACACGCTATGCCAAAACATGATTTTTACCGTGTTTCACTGTTTGCGCTCACCAGACAAGAATTGTCGTCTACGAGAACCAGTATCGTTATTTCGCTGTTATCATCGACGACCAGATTTTTTGAAATAATATCGCTGAACTTCTCAGCAATGGAATTGCCGCCTGATGTTTTATGTCCTTTTGTTGTTTGAGGACTTCGATCGCGCTTGCTTTACTTTCTGCAGGCTCCAGTAGATGAAATTATGAAGTTCAAAAGCTTTTCTTATTTTACGTACACAGGCATGGCACACACGATCAGATGATGTGTCTGATCTTTCTATTTCTAGACCAATTTCAGATTTCTGGCAAAGTGCCATTTTGAAATCCTTCACGCTTAGAGGCCTTGAAAAGGTTTTGAATGGAAATGTTTAAATTATCCGAATTTGATCTTGAGCGGACAACAACAAGGTCCACAATTATCGTTTACACTTCTCTCGATTCCTTCCTTGACAGGCTTTGCCCTTCGCCGTCATCGAGCAAACACCGCATCGCCATAGCGTCGGATAGTTTTGTTTTGATAGCCTCTACAGTATCACAGTGACGTTTCCCTGCTAATGCTGTGTTAAGACTTGAACGGTTTACCTAGGTACCATAGTTTACTTACCAAGGTAAACATTTTCCGTGTGTAAAAGCCAACTGATACTTCGGTAAATGCCGCAAAAGACAAAAGAAATTTAACCGAGGTAAAAGTTGTAATTACCCTGTGATCAGGCATGGTTACAGTTGGTAACCAAGGTCAAGATGACAGATATATCCGCTGATGGCGGCGTAATATTTCACTTCCCGCGGTGAGCAAATTGTGCGATTGTCGACAAAGCGTTTCCTTTCCAGTTTTTACTATCATGGCAGATAACATGGAAAGATTGGATCGATCTTCTTACGGCGAACAATCCGTCACGTAAAAGAAAGCATTGTATTTTTCATTTTCAGTATTATTTACAACTTTCTCTAGACAAACTTCGATCCTTTGTTGTGTAATTACTGTCAATATATTCTGCCACCAGGGAGGATGCTGCATATACAACGTATCCACGTTTCTATGCATATAACAATGCATACCTGGGTATGATCAAACAGCTGAATTTTCGCCGCAATATTATGGAATGAGGTCCTCGCCTATGAAAATGATGGCACCTCAATTTGCTCCTGTTCCGCTGCGGTGGGATCCTCGTTCAAGTTCGATTTCATGACGTTGATAATGCAGCGCGCGCGAATGTTGAAAGATCAACTTGAGTTATTTGAGCCGGTATAAACACTGGACGAATGTACCAGGGTAAGTTGGCTGGAAGTTTCTTATTACGATCTGTGCTCTGATCACGATTCACAAAACCTGTCATCGGGTTGTCAAAATATGTAATAGGGGGCGGAAATAAAAAGGCTCACCTTTGAGTCACGCGCGCGAGCTGAAGAGCAAAGCGATCCGGCGGTAAGGAGTCTGGTGGAGAGGTGCCAAGAAAGTGAGCCTGCCTTGATCTCTGTAATTTTTTCATTCAGGCTGCTTCGCCTGAGCGAAGTGAAATACCATTGGTCGAAAAGCGGGAAAGACGAGAAAACTTTCAATCTATTATGTTTGATGAGGAGCGATTTAATAGAATCCCATGGAGTCGGTAATTAACCGAACGTTCTCACAATAAAATATTTTAAAGTCGTCCACATTTGAAGTCCGGGGAAGACTTTAGAACTGAGTGCGCGTATTACTGATGTTTTGACAAATTTCCAGTCTATGCCTGGTTGAATTTCAAACTAGCTACAGAGGAAATAGCAGTTGAAAATATGTTAAAGAATCAAGACCTACTTGTCGTGTTGCCGACTGGATATGTGAAGAGTTAAATATTACAAACGCATGTGATTGCATGCGGGCAACGAAACAAAACGAAGGCGTTTACCCATTTACCAGCAAAAACCAGACTGCCAAAGCAAGATCACTTGGAATCAAGTGTGTGTCCTTGCTAGACATAGACTTCGACGGTTTTTCTTCGGCAAAGCTTTATCAACAACGGATATCGCGCCTGCATGTTGTTATGAAAAAGATTTACAATTTTCCCGGGAAATCTGAGCTGCCAAAGTTCATACTTGCGGTGAAAATTAATTGACTTATTCTTTTCTGTGGTCTCCGGGGTGGAAATAAAAAAGTTCGCAGGGATCAGAGCAGGCTCACTTTCTCGTCTCGCGGCTTCGCCGCTCGATTTCGCGCTCTCGGCCGCGTCACGCGAGCTTGTGCTCCAACGTGAGCCTGCTCGCAGGCTAGCCAGGCGGTTCCTCGCGGTTTCGCCGCTTTGTGCGCTCACGTTCAATTTGCTTAAAAAAATGCTTAAACCGCCAATCTACGCAGGCTAATCCATGGTAGAAACATAAATATGAAACGGAACGAAGAGTTTTATCCCATGTTTTAAGGTTACTTCCCACCTTCAAGGGCACAAAAAATCTTTTTTTTTTCTTTTATTTGACAAAATTTTAAGTCAGTCATTTTATCTTAAGTTTACAAAAGAAAAATAATAAAAATCTCAAAAAGAGGCCGAGTTATTCAGAAAAAACGTACTTTCAAATAAAGTTAATAAACCAGGAAGCTGTCATAATCGCTTAAATGGACGAAACCGCCGAGGGAAATTTTCGCGGCAAACGCTCATCTTGGAGCTCGTGTTTCATGTTATTTGGTACTGTTTATATCGCGCATTTGTTCTTTTGCCTTTGGTTATTTTGCCCGTTTTGAGTGTCTTTCTCTTCAGTGCGACAGCGAGATAGAAAACGTGTTGCAATGCGATGCTCTTCCCGGGAAATCCTGATCCATTGTCATTGACGCTAGGATGTCCTGTTGTTCCATTGGTTTGCGGTTTCATAAGGCGAGATAATCTCCTGGCGTGGCTCGAGTTGTTTACGAACCTTTATGAGCCAAAATCTCGCATTTGATTTTGAGGTGGCTGTCTTCAAAACGGGGAACGGGAAATCGAGGAATCGGGGAACGGGAATGGGGAACGGGGAATCGTTAAAAGCGGGAATCTTTAAAATGGGGAATCTTTAAAAGCGAGAATCTTTCAAAAGAGAACCTTTAAAAGCGGAAATCTTTAACACGGGGAATCTTTAAAAGCGGGGACCTTTAAAACGGGGTTCTTGAAAAGCGGGAATCTATAAAATGGGGAACATTTAATCGCGTTAATCTTTACTGAAAAGTGAGCGAGAATCTCTCAGTTTCGCATCGAAAGCTCTTTATTCTGTCACATGTATCAACTCAAGAGGTACAAATACAGTTGTAAAATTTATTCATTGTAATGATATTGCACGCTATTAAAGCACATCGGTTTAGGGGGATAGTGGAGCGGTTCAAATCTCGACTCTCACTCTTTGAGATCCGCTACACCGACCGAAGAATCGAACCGCCTGGATTCATCTTAACTTCGGACTGTGACGTCTTTAAATTGAGTTTCGCAGCGATAGATATTTGTCCTAGCCTTATCATTTGCTAATGGCAGGACTTACGACTTAACGACAAGTATATGGCAAGGAAAACACAGTTTTGGTTGACGTCGCTGAAATTCAAACTACAAAACTATTGATCCTCCTGAGATTTTACTTCCATGATGTATAAGAGCAGCTGAAAACTAATATTCATACAAATTTTCGTTCCAAGTGGTTATTGGTTTTGTAATAGACTACGCTTGAATTTCTACGCTTTTGCGTGACGCGGCATTTACATGACGGGCAAGAGCGCTGTCATGTTGGTTAAAAAAGTGACTTATTTCGGGGAATTTGGCTATCTGAACAGTTCATGCAGGGCTGTCATTGAGTTTTGAAGCAGCCGTTGCATGTAAGTTATCACCCGTAGCGGTAAAATACGTGGC